CTGTGATTGGGTGTTCCTGTAAGCCCCTTGAGACTTCTAATCGGTTACTCTATGAGTCCTTCTAACCCTATAAATGTAACCCCCTCAACAATAAACCCTCTCCTGCCTCCTCTCCACGCCGGTGTGTTGTCTCTGTGCCTGCCATGGGACCACGTGAGTGGGAGGAGGGGAGAGCACCTCTCCCCTCCAGGCTCAGGACCTGAAGAAACCCCTGGCGCTGGAGTCCCCCCCCCATCCACTTAAGTCGTCGGAAATGGTTCCTCAGATGGAAATGGAACTAGAACTGGGCCACCCCATGCCATGGGGGGAAAGAGATCCAGAACAGACCAGACCGGTGTCAGTGTCCAACGATCGATTGTGCTACTTCTCCTGTCTTGAGTACCCATCCTAATGGAATAGAACTCAAGTCATGGTCTGTTTTTGAACATCTGGAGGGGTGGAGGAATCCCATGAAATGGGAAGAAAATGTCTATCTGTGAAAGGATGGGGGATAGTAGTTAATGAAAATGTATAAATCTGTATGTTGGGTATAAACTCTGGGTTGTTTAGCCTGGAGGAGGCTCAGGGGAGACCTCATCACTCTCTACAACTACCTGAAAGGAGGTTGCAGCCAGGTGGGTGTCAGTCTCTTCTCCCAGGCAACCAGCAGTAGGACAAGAGGGTACGATCTTAAGCTCCACCAGGGGAGGTTTAGGTTGGATATTAGGAAGAAATTTTTTACAGAGAGAATAAACAGACATTGGAATGGGTTGCCCAGGGAGGTGGTGGATTTACCGTCCCTGGAGGTTTTTAAGATGAGACTGGATGTGGCACTTAGTGCCATGGTCTAGCAACCATGGCAGTGTTGGATTAAGGGTTGGACTTGATGATCTCGGAGGTCTTTTCCAACCTGGTTGATTCTATGATTCTATGATAAAGATGGTTTAAGAATGTAGATTATGTTGTAAATGTTGGTAAGAAGGGATTTCAGTAATGAGAATTAAATACAATGGAATAGTTAAGATATATATGTATCAAATTATGTGGGTATGATGTAAATGGTATGGAATAAGGGGTGGAGATTGTATAGGGTCTGGTTGAGATGGAGTTCATTTCCCCATAACAGAACTACTACTGTGCTTTGCATTGGTAGCTGGAAAGATGTTAATAACACACCAGTGTTTTGTCTACTGCTGTGTGTGCAAACTTTTGCTTTTGCTTTAATAAAATGCCTTATCTCAACCTATGAGTTGTTTCCCATCTTGTTCTCTCTCCCCTCTCCAGCTAAGAAGGGGGAATGGTAGAGCAGTTTGGTGGGCACCTGGTATCCAGCCAAGGTCAACCCACCACATCAGTGGTAGCAGAGTCAGTTCCAGGAATTTTTTAATTGAAGGATTTAGCACACTCTACTAGCTCAGGTATCAAAACAATGCTCCTCCCAGGACACTAGGATGCTGAACAGATGGTGTGGGGCAGTCTTACACTGTTCCCCTAGGACACAGTTGTTCAGGTGAAAAAGCAGGAGATGCTCTCTGAAAGTTTCACTGAAAATCCCTTCCAGCATGCAAGAGGAAGACTATTTTGGCAGCATATGGAAACCATACAGCTACATAATTGTCAATCTGTGTCAATCTACTCACAGTGTTATGGACTGAATATAGATTTAAAACTCCATAGCACCTACCATTTATAAACGCTTTAAGAAGCCTGTAAAACCAATTCATCAGCAATAGCACTCCGACACAAGTACTTTGTAGGACTGCTGTAGCAGTATCTACTACAGTTGATAGTCTTCACTGAAGTTATCTCCAAGGGATCATGGGGTCCCAATGCCAGATGAGGTGGAGGTGCAGATGGGGCCTGAGGCCAGACAGTAGATGTTGGCCTCTCCAGGGCCCACTGGTTTGCTGCCTCTTGCACCCAGCTGTGGGATGACTTACAAGTTCTCAGAGGTAGCCTTACACCTTCAGATGACATAGCCTCAGCTGATGGGCAGCACTCACACTGTCCCTTATCACCCTGTCATGGGTTTTAGATTTTCTTCTTGAATTTTCCCATGCCACCATAAGGGGGTGCGTGCCAACAGCAGTGCACGGCATTCGCCACCGTGGTACCAGACCAACCGCCCACTGACAGGGGAGGGGGGTGGTGGGGGGGCAAGATCCCCTGGGGTGGAGACACCCTGAAAACTGGAAAAAATAAAAGGGGAGCTGTTCCTGGTTTTGCCTTCTCTCTCCCTGGTGAGGCTCGCTGCCTGCATGGACTTGGGAAACCCCTGAATGGGTTCAGCAGCCCCTACACTGACTTGCTACCGTGGCTCCTGCCATGACTTGCTGCCCAAAGTTGCTGGTCTGATTCACCTCCCATGCGTGAGTCTGGAATCACCCAGCTACTGCCCAGCTGCGGTCCTCCCGTCTGCCAGCACCACAACCACTGGAGCCTTGGTGTCCCTTCACCCTGCAACAGTTGCTGGTCGGGAAGTTCCCTTTGTGCGGGGTGAGCGCAGCCGCGCCTGCGGCATCGTGTGGAGCCTTCTCTGCACCCTCCGCTGCAGACCACCAAAAGCAAGGTACCCGCTCTGTGCACCTGGTGTCAACACTACATACCAGGGTTCTTCCTGCCGCTGCTGCTGCCTCCTGATTTGCTGCAACTGCTCGCGGATCTGACCTGCCGGTTTCCTGCCACCTACCACCATTGTTGTTGCTTCCACGTGTCAGCCACCTTGCCGCCAGGGTCATGTGACCGCGTCGGAACTGCATTGTCACCCCGGCAATGCAGAAGTGAAGAGAGTGATTTCTGGGTGACATTTTTTTCTCTGTTATTGTGTGGGGGTTGTTTTTGTTCTGTTTTGTTCCCTGGTTTTCAGTAAACTCTTTATTTCATTTCTACTCCTTGCTCGTGTCATAATTGTTTTTCAAATTTACAATAAGTCCAGCAGGGAGGGGTTTCTGTTTCATCTGAGATCGCGCCTCCCTGGCAACACTGTCTTTAACCCAAGACGCACCCTGAGCCAAGACAGGTTAATGATAGGAACAAGAGAGAAGCTGCAGATCAGTTCTGTTCAAGACCACAGGCTGCTACTTCCCCATGCATCTGGTCTCAGCTATGTCCTGAGGATCCTCCAAGGCTGCTCAACACACAGGAGCCAAAACACAAAGTAGCACTGTGATAGCATCCATGCCTTTGAACCCAAGCCAGTGATCACAGCTACAGATAACAGTTCACCTGAAGGACATTTCTTTTATAGCCAAATGAGATCCTTCTTCAACACTGGAGGCATATTTCAGGAGCTCACTAACCATCTCCTCTCCTGGGAGATGGTGGCCAGGAGAGGCCATTGCTGCACTCAGGGGAATTTCCTCATATGATCAGGTCAGCAGCATGTGGACAAGCAGATATTCAGCAATACAAAGTTATAGAGGGAACCAAGAATGTGAAAAGTTTCCCTCTTGCAACAATCAATGTTACATAATTGGGAATTCAAGTAGGGCAGCACTGCATAAGAGTCTGGATGGGTAAAGGTGTCATGGGGCCTGATGAGATCAGCACAAGGTTTTAGGGATCACTGTAGTCAAGGGACAAGCCTTTCCCCACGTACATTCCTAGTTTGAAGTGGACACAAAGAAAGCCTGCAGAACCTCTCATAGGAAGACCTGTGATAAGGTGACAGAGCTGCACCAAATGGAACATTTCTGAAAGGTCTTTAGCTCCTCAAACTATTCAAGCAGTAGTCCTAGCAGGCTGAGACCTGGCTAGGACATCCAAAAGTTTAGCAGGGATTTGACTGGCCTCCACTAAAAGATTGAATTTTGAGCCAAAACAGGCCTTCAATTTTCAAATACAGCCATGAAATTTTGTAATTTTGAACTATTTGTATGAAATGAAATGCTGCTTTTCACAGTCTTTGCAGCAGCACTATTAAACTCTGTCTCAAGTTGCTGCTCACATGAGTTTTAACATAACAGCTCAACTCAGTCTTAAAGGTATAAACCTTAAAGGTCACTTGACAGATGAAAGTCCAGCAAGAAACACAACATAGTCCATTCACACCAGATGCAGGGCAATGTATCCTATGCCCCAGCAGCATCAGAGGTTAGCCTGAGCGCTGCCATATTAACACAGTTGGGCCACTATCAGCCCCTGAGCTAGTCAATCAGCAGAACACCACACCATGCTGAGATGCACTAGGTATATCCTCATGGCAGCGCTTCCCCTAGTGCTTTGGTCCGTGACAACTTTACTTTAAATCTCTCTAAGTAGCCCATGCTCAGCATCATGAAGAAAATGCTTTCAAGCTAGGGAGTGCTGCTTTCTAAGAAACATTTATATAAAATCATTCTCCTTCTGAACCTGCTATGTAGTTGTGCCATGATCAAATCATGGACTTGATAGCCCAGTGTTACCCTGTGAGCATCACTCACACATGCACTAGACTAAGGGCCACTTCAAATTGACTAGTAGACATTAAATTCAAAGGTTCACTCTGGTCCCAGGGTGACCAGGTTGTGCATGACTCCTCCTGAAGCTAGACTTCAGCTCTGGTTCTTCCTGCAGTTGGAGCACCCCAAGTCCAAACCCCTTCATAATAGGTTGACTGCTGCAGGAGATTGTTTCCCAACATTTCTTGTCTCATCACACAGTTTTGTAGGATATACTCAAATTAAAAATGTACTTGAAAGTCATAAAAAAAACAACTAGTTGTCTAAGTATCACAATAGAGCAAGACCCCATACACCAGTTTAGGGGATCCAAGAATCCTCTAAAACTGCCAACACTCGCGACATAATGCTTCAGCTGGAGCTGCTTGCTGCACTTGCAGGTATGAGAAAGGTTCCATCCCTGTCTACAGAAACAGCATTTCCTACAATATTTAGATTTAACTCTGCAACCATGAAGCTGACATTTAAACACAAACAGCTAACCGCTTTAGTTATGGTTAGAGATGTTCCAGAAGTTTAAGGACATAGGAAACTTTCGCATACACCTGAGAAAAAAATTAATTAGCTTAAAAAATACTTTACCTCATAAATGTTGGGGTGCCACATTTTGGTCAGGAATCTGAAGGTAGGTGGTGAATATGGATAGTCAATAGGAAATTTAATGTGAGCCTGGAAAATAAAGCAAAATATTTTAATTATGAAACAGAACAAAGAGACCAACAAGCAACCATTACAGTGAAAACACTGAAAAAATTTCCATTAAGTCCATTAAATAATTTTGTTTATATATCAGTGCCCATGTGGACCCATAGTATAACTCTACACAATTTCTTATGAGCAAAACACTAACTGAACAAGAAAACTCTAAACACCAGGTTTTACCTGGGCTGGCAACACTCAGAAAACAAGCCATAAGGTGTCAGGGTTATCAACAGGTCTGTCGGAAGGAAGTAAGAAGATGGAAGACAGGAATTACAAAAACGGAAATCCTGGACTTTCTTCAAGTCACCGTGACTGTGCTTTAACCAGATCATCATGACTAAGCAGATGCTGTATCACCATGACTTTGCTATTTGGCAGTCAATCCTGATGTATGTGTACATAAAAGTACCAATTATAGGTTAACATGTATGTTATGTTAAGGTCTATAAATGTCTGTAACCTGTTACAATAAAGATTCCTTCTATCCTGTCCCTGCTTTGGAAGAAGATGATTCTGTGTCGCTTTGGTCGTCTCAACAGTGACATATGGTGACTCCAATGCGATTGCTGTGCCGAAGAAGATTTATCTCCGAGAGAGAGTTTGAAGGGATTTTTCTCTGAGAGAGAAAGACTTTGAAGATTTATCTCCAAGAGAGAGAGAGTTTGCAGTGATTTCTCTCCTAGAGAGAGAGGGAGCAGTGATTTCTCTCCTAGAGAGAGAGGGACTCGTGGGTCGACGCAGGAGGGAGACAGCGCCCGATGTAGCTTTGAGAGCAGTGGAGTTTCTGCCTGGTTCAGACCTGAGATTTATTAACACCTCATTTAGGTAAGCTATCAGGGTGAGTCGTTTGGAATAAAAATTGTACAATGGGACAGCATATAACTAAAGATGAAAATGTAGTTTTATCTATATGGAAAACCCTCCTTAATCATAGGCATGTCAAGGTTAACGATTTTGATTTACGACATTTGTTGTTATGGTGTTGAAAACAAGATTTTAAAGCTACTATGTTAGTTGCATTTACTTTGTCTGCCTGGCACTTGCTCTGTGAGACTTTGAAAGATTTAGAAGCAATCTATGCAATAATTCACATAAGAACCAAACTCTGAGACACAGCTACCCAGGAAGATAAGCAGGTTGCCGGTGTACTGAAAGTGTAGCAAACTGTCTTTGAACCATGCCTCCAAGCCAGAAAATGTAGAAAAACCTAAAAATTCACTCCCGGAGGCAGAAAAGAAGGAGGGGCCCCGCCCCTTCATTGCCGCCGCTGCAGAAAAAACAGTTTTTCCACTGGATGACTCCGCTGAGAAAATAACTAATGAGAGAAATTCAAATCGAGATGTACAGGTGAATGGAGAGGGGCAGAAATAAACTAGAGAGCAGGGCCCAGACGGAGAACAAGAGAGCAGAGCCCATCTTTGTACCAGCCATCGGACTTAAGAGTCAGCACTCACCTTCTTTCTTTTTCGCAGCCTGGGTTACCTATTTGTTCATGTGCTAGTTGGTCGTTTCAGTTTCACAATGTGTGTGGGGCAAGACACATAAGCTATGCAACAGTTTTAAAAAGTTCTCACAGATTAAGTTTAATGTAGTGAAAGCCTGAAGAAGACGATCCCTGCCACCTACGAGCGGCGGGGGGAGGGGGGGGGGGGGCAAGCTAGAAAAGCTGCCTTCTGATATTTCTGCTAACTCTTGTGTTTACTGTCTGTCCAATGTGTCGTTGTGAGCTCACAGTGTTACTAATGTTACCGTGTGTGTGTGTGTGTATGTGTGTGTGTGTGTGTGTGTGTGTGTGGAGAAGCGACCAAAGCTTTTGCCAGGAGAAAAAAGAAAAAGAAAGGTAAAAAACCCTCCTTTGCAAAATTCAGCCTTACCAGGAAGAGAAATAAAGTGTATTCACACAGTAGAGACAGTTTGTTGCTTAGCAACCAAGTAAGAGCTCAAACCTCCCCCTGCCGAATCCACGAAAAGTTTAAAATACCAATTTCTCGGAGCTAGGGAGGGAATAAAACCCTCATGCTTTATAGAAACTGTAACTTTTCAACCTTTTGATTAGAGAAAGAAATTATCTTTCTTTGCAATCAAGGCGGGGGGGAATGAGAACATACATAAACGTAACAGAGAAGTAGAGTTTTTAAAGTTTTTATAGCGACTACTGACAGATTTTCTTTGAAGTCTAAAAACTCATCTCGCTGCCTGCGATAAGAAATTCCAAAGTGTGTGGGGGGACCAACTTTCCACCGGAGCAGAGTGAAGGTGGTGTCAGCTACAGCTGTGCTGCCTTCCCCCTCCTTTCCCCCAGGCGCAGACAGTCGTGCAAACACCCTTTCGTTGCTTCTGTGTTTTACAGACAAGTCTTTAGAGATTTCTAGAAAATTTTTTTGGTAGACTAATTTAGTAAAATGCCTAGTTCCAAGATATCTTATTCGACAAAGGCAGTTTTTGCCAGAGAAAAAAGGAAAAAATAGACCGTTTTAGCCTGAGATTTCCACCTTTGTGGGGAGGGAGATAAGATCTAAAGAGATAACACAGAGAATTGCCTAGCAACAAACGGCCTTTCAAGTTTAAAATGATCATTAGTTACAGCTTTACATTGCTTGGTTTGAGTTTATTATATTTGAGAATTCAAAAGACAAATTCTACCTTGCTCAGATTCTATAAAATACAAATATGAGTAATTTTGAAAATATCTAAAATTGTCTTAAACTGCATCTGTTCTAGTCTCTGTGCTAAGCAGCAGAGGTGTGTCCCTGTTATCGAGTAAAAACCGTAGACCAGAGCTGTTGCTGCTTTGCCAAGAAGCATCCCTGATCCCCTGGTATGTTCCTATAAGCAAGATCCTGGTTTAAAGCAACCTGAAGGCTGGATGACACTGCTTAAGTCTGAAAGGACATGACTATTCTCCAATTTCATTTTTTTGCATCCAGAGAGACAGAAATCTGCCCTATGAATTAGTGTGAATCCTTACATTAAAAATGCTGTTCAAATCCCAAGCTGTGACTTGATAACAGAAAGGTGAAAGAGATGAAACTATATTTAATCCAATAATGCAAATGGACCCTTATCCATGGAGGCGACACAAAATGAGGACAGCTGTAGCCAAATGAAAGTAGGGGGCTCCTTGGACATTTTTAATTCCAAATTAATAGACCACCCTTACTGTAAAAGTCCTCTCGAGGAGCCTTCACTAGAAAGCACAAGACTGAAATCAGGAACTAGGAAGGGAGGCAAAAGGGACAATCAGAAAACTTCCCGGGTGGCTGATGAGCAGTTGACAATGTGGCTTTGTGAATTCCTAGATGAAGTTACAAAGAAATATGGCAGTTTAATACCACTCTGTGAAAAAGATGTCATGGGAAGATTAAAAGAAGTCTTTAATGAAGATTTCCACCATAGAAAACCTTTTATCACCAGGGAAATCATGAAATACTGAGAAAAACATCCAAAATCCTCCACTTGCAATTTCTGAGTCTTCTATAATAAGCGCATGCTAGATATGGATGATTTAGCTACACTGGAAGGCCAGAATTGGCTGAATGACCAGATAATTAACATGTATGGTGAACTCCTAATGGATGCAGTCCCTGAAAAGGTTCATTTCTTTAACAGTTTTTTTCATTAACAGCTCATAACCAAAGGATATAATGGGGTAAAATGATGGACTAAAAAGGTGGACTTATTTAAAAAGACTCTTGTTAATTCCTATTCACCTGGAAGTCCACTGGTCCCTCATTGCTGTGAACATCCCCAGTCGAATTATTTCATTTTATGATTCATTTTAACTTTTGTGTAGAGAACATTCGAAAGTATTTGCTGACTGACGCAAAGGAGAAGAATCGCCCCGAGTTCCTTCAGGGTTGGCAGACTGCTATGACAAAGTGCATTCCACAACAAAAAAATAACAGTGACTGTGGAGTTTTTGTGCTCCAGTACTGCAAGTGCCTCTCCTTAGACCAGCCTTTTCAGTCCTCCCAAGAAGATATGTCCCGAGTGAGAAAAAGGATTTACAAGGAGTTGTGTGAACACCAGTTAATAGACTAATAAATGCAACCAACCTAATTTATCTGGCATTTCTAACAAATTGCAGCCAGTGTTTGTGTACTTGAATTTCTAAAAATTTCCAAAAATTTTGAGCTATTCTCAGCTGAGTGGTGTGACCACTATCATTACCTCAATTTTTTGACAAGTTCTTTAATTAGCAGAACATGACAGAGTTGCCATAGAATATTCCTAATGTCAGTTTGGTTCTCTTATATTCTCAGCATGCATATAGGCAAAGCATGCAACTAAAACCATAAAACGGTAGATTTAGTGCACCTTTGAGATGTAGCTAGAAATGACAAATACGGGTGAATTTGTCTGGAAACATAAAGATACATGGTGTGTTTTCTGATGCAATAATGCTTTGAATCAATAACAGATAATAGTCATAGCAATGGAATTTAGGTTGTGAAACAAGTGCATTTAAGTTAGAAATTAAAAGTGTACAAGCATTACTTTCTTATGTTCTTTTAGCTCAAATGACATTGTTTTTATTGTGCTACATAGAAAAATCAAATTACTGCAAGATACAAATATGCAGAAATTCCTAACTCACTCATGGAACAAGTTGTTATCAAAAAAGCATTTTACACATCAAATGAATATTTTTAAATACAAAAAAAAGGGAAAGAGACTATGTATGCACATAAACAGATGCTAACTCAGAATAGATCTCATTTAAGTTTGTTAGACCTTATATTTCTTATAATAATTCCTCTTCAAACCAGGTACAGTTGTTAAACGTGACTACCAAAAATGACAAACTGGAAAGTACGTAGCCAATAACTACCTGAAATATAAAATGTGTAGTTGAAGTGTGGAAGTATAATGGAAATTCCGGTTGTGTGTGAGTGAAGAATGACTGAGGTGGTGTCTTGGGGTAAAAAGTGTTTTTCCCTGGAGTTAGAAAAGTGGTAACCCCTGAG